TCCCTGAAGGCTCAGAGGTCAGGGGCTTTTCAAGGATGGTGGAGGCCAGGCGTGGTGGTTCACACCTGTAATCCCAGTACTTTGGGAGGTGAGGCAAGCAGATCACTTGAGGCCAGGAGTTCGAGACCAGCCTGGCCAACATGGTGAAACCCTGTCTCTACAAAAAACACAAAAAATTAGCTGGGCGTGGTAATGCATGCCTGTAATCCCAGCTACTTGGGAGGCTGAGGCAGGAGAATCACTTGAGCCCAGGAAGTGGAGGTTGCAGTGAGCCAAGATCATGCCACTGCACTCTAGCCAGGGTGACAGAGTGAGACTGTGACTCAAAAAAATGATGGTTTGGTGAGCTAGGGACGGGGGTGGCTAGGCGATGGGTACTTGCTGCCAACTGGTTGGGTGAGAGATGAAATCCTAGGGAGTGGAAGCTAACCCCTTGTGCTGAGTCACTTCTGGGTGGGGCCACAGGAGCAGTGGGTGGGTCCAGGCAGAGCCAGGTGTCAAAAAGATATTTCAAAAGGCCAAGCGGTCATGCCTATAATCCCAGCACTTTGGGAGGCCGAGGCGGGTGGATCACGAGGTCAAGAGATCAAGACCATCCTGGTCAACAAGGTGAAACCCCATCTCTACTAAAAATACAAAAAGTAGCTGGGCATGGTGGCACGCGCCTGTAGTCCCAGCTACTCGGGAGGCTGAGGCAGGAGAATTGCTTGAACCCAGGAGGCGGAGGTTGCGGTGAGCCGAGATTGCACCATTGCACTCCAGTCTGGGTAACAACAGTGAAACTCCGTCTGGGGGCGGGGGGGGGGGGGGGGGGGGGGGGAGGGGGACAAAAGGCCAAGCTTATGTTCTACAATAATGATGTCACCTGCAGGAGGAACTGGGGAAGTTGCATATCTTGTGACCTCCAAAATAATGTCCTGCAATTGTTTGTATCTTCACCTTTGTAGAAATCAGGCTTCTTCCTCCTCCTGGCCTGATGGGTCTCTCATTAGCTTTACAAAGGCAGTTGAGTTTTGGGAAAGAGCTATTATCATTTAAACTATAAACTCAATGTCTCCCAAAGTTGGTCCAGACTATTTCCAAGAATAATTAAGGCAGCTTGAAGGCTAAAGTCAAGAGCGGGGGTGGCTAGATCAGATCTCCCCTGCTGCCATAATTTTCTCACTGATGTAATTTTTGCAAAGGTGGTTTCAATTTGATGGATAAGATATTCCTTTAATTTGCATTTCCTTGAACAGTGAGCAGTGCCTGTTTCTTAGCTATCTGTATATCCTCACTGATGACACTTTATGTCCTGTGTCTTTTACTCATTCAGCCAGACAAGTCTTAACATTTTAAAAAATCAACTGTATGAGGTTTTGGAGTGAGGGTTTGTCATACACATTATTTTTCCCAGTCTTTGCCTTTGCAGTTTATGTGATGTTTGATGTATCAATGATACTTAAACACATTCTACAGTCAAGGATTTTTCGACCTTTCCTTTATGAGTTCTTACAGCGGCTTGAGATCAACAATGTTCTGAAAGTGTGGTCTCTGGGCCAACAGCATTAGCAGCATGTAGTGCAACCACCTCCACAAAATTATGACTGAGATAGTGAAAGAGATCTAACTTAACTGACTCCATCTTGCTTCCAACCTCCAAGCTGTCCTTGTTCATTCCTGGGCATAGGCTCAACTAACTTTGGGAGAAATTCTATAGTTTAAACAGACAGTAACAGCCCTTTCCCAAAGGAGACCTCTTCTTGCCTGGGGACCCCTGCCTTTGTAGGACTAACATTAGCCACAAGATTAGAAAAGATGGTTTAGGAGTCATGCAGCTGGAGGCTACAAGATTCTGACCCTCAATAAACTGCTCCTAAGGTCAGTGCTTGAGATACTTTGCAGACCCTGCACTTGATGGATCAGCTGACACCACCCAGATCAGTAAACTGGCTCCTTGATCTTGTGGCCCCCACCCAGGAACTGACAGAGTGCAAGAAGACAGCTCCAACTCCCTAAGATTTCCTATCTGAGCAATCAGGGCTCCTGGCTCACTGGCTTCCCCCCACCCACCAAGATGTCCTTAAAAACTCTGTTCCGAATGCTTGGGGAGACTGATTTGAGTAATAATAAAACTTTGGTTTCCCGCACAGCCAGTTCTGTGTGAATTACTTTCTCTATTGCAGTTCCCCTGTCTTGATGAATTGGCAATGTCTAGGCATCGGGCAAGGGGAACCAACTTTCCCTTAATACTTATTTTTTCTAAAATTTCTTAACTATTGTCTGTTTGGCTAATTTTTCAATTGAATGTTAGAATCATTTGCTTATGCTCCAAAAAGAAATTCCGACAGAAGTTGGGATGCTATGTTGCAAACAGATCACCTTCTTACAAGATATAGGCCTTCCATTCTCTCCCACTTTTATACTGTTCAGCAAACTTATTGAATGTTTTCATGCAGATTGCAATGTATTTTCCTCAGACATTTTAAATTTTCGGTTGTGACCGTCAACTGGGCTTAATGTGCTATGTTACTTTAAATGTTAATCAATAAATCAATATTTTCTGGGATGAAAGAAAAATACTCATTTATGTACCTAAAGTTAATGGAATCAGGAGGATTCACTCTGTAGAAAAGAGGTTTGTTATCTTTTTTTTCTTTGAAACAATAAAATATCTTTGTTCAATTTAAGTCTTGAGGCCAGGTCCCGTGGCTCACGCCTGTAATCCCAGCACTTTGGGAGGCCAAGGTTGGAGGATCACTTGAGGTCAGGTGTTCAAGACCAGCCTGACCAACATGATGAGACCCCCATCTCTACTAAAAATACCAAATTGGCCAGGCATGGTGGTGGGCACCTGCAATCCCAGCTACTCAGGAGGCTGAGGTGCGAGAATTGCTTGAACCTGGGAGGCGAAGGTTGCAGTGAGCCGAGATCTCACTACTACACTCTAGCCTGGGCAACACAGTGAAACTCCATCTCAAAAAAGAAGACCTGGTGACTTCAAGAAAGATAACACTTCTGTGCTACCTTACCACTACCCCATCTGTGACGTAATTATACATATATATTTGGTATTTGGTCTCTGTCCCCAGTACGTGGCACAGAGCTCCTGATCTCCTGAGTGACAGGGTGCTGGGTGCATCTTTTATCCTCACCTTTGCTTTCTGCCCCAGTTCCTGCCCTAGGGCTCATGATCTCCTGAGTGACAGGGTGCTGGGTGCATCTTTTATCCTCACCTTTGCTTTCTGCCCCAGCTCCTGCCATAGGGCTCCAAATCCCTTGGAATTCCCTGGGTTACAGGAGCATCTCCTGCTCTAATGATGTGGGCTTGGTCTTGGTGGGCTCATGGATGGAGACTGGTTGCCGGGAGAACCAACATGATTACAAGATTGGAACTTTCAGTCCCACCCCTCATCTGCTAGGGTGTCTACACGATGAAGCTTCTGTAACAACCACTAACTATGGCATGTAGGGAGCTTCAGGACGGGTAAATACATCAAAAAGCTGGGACGGTGGCGCAGTTCAACTCCCCAGGGACAGAAGCTTCTGTGCCCAGGATCTTCCCAGACCCTCCCCTCTGCATCTTTTCATCTGACTGTTCATTTTTGTATCCTTTAAAATATCCTAATCGGCTGGGCACAGTGCTCATGCCTGTAATCCCAGCACTTTGGGAGGTCATGGTGGGCGGATCACTTGAGCTCAGGAGTTCAAGACCAGCCTGACAAACATGGTGAGAACCCCATCTCTACTTAAAAATACAAAAATTAGCCAGGCATGGTGGCTCATGCCTGTAGTCCCAGCTACTTGAGAGGCTGAGGCACAAGAATCACTTGAACCCAGAAGGCACAGGTTGCAGTGAGCTGAGATTGTGCTACTGCACTCCAGCCTAGGCAAGAGAGTAAGATTGCAACCTCTAGCTCTCGGGTTCAAGTGATTTTCTTGCCGCAGCCTCCCAAGTAGCTGGGATTACAGGTGCCCGCCACCAAGCCCAGCCAATTTTTGTATTCTTAGTATGTTGGCCAGGCTGGTCTCAAACTCCTGACCTCAGGTGAACCACCGGCCTCAGCCTCCCTAAGTGCTAGGATTATAGGCATGAGCCACTGCACCCAGCCTCAACTAAATCTTTAAACATGGGAGGATCTCTTGAGCTCAAGAGTTCAAGACCAGCCTGGACAACATAGTGAAACCCTGTGTCTACAGAAAACATCAAAAAAATTTAGCTGAGCTTGATGCACCTGCAGTCCCAGCTCCTCAGGAGGCTGAGGTGGGAGGACAGCTTGGGCCCAGGAGATGGAGGCTGCAGTGAGCCATGACTGCGCTACCTGCCCTCCAGCCTCAGCAACACAGTGAGACCCTGTATCAAAAAAAAAAAAAAGGTGCCCAGTTTTCAGCTGGGTAGGTAGATTATATTATCTATGAATTTTAACTCAGCATAGAATGGAGGATACAGTTACAAAACTGCTGATATGTAAGGAGAAGGTGGGTCTAACAAGGTTTAGAACTGCAGGTCTGGCCGGATGTGGTGGCTTACACCTGTATTCCCAGCACTCTGGGAGGCCGAGGTGGATCACCTGAGGTTGGGAGTTTGAGACCAGCCTGGCCAACATGGTTAAACCCTGCCTGTACTAAAAATACCAAAAAAAAAATAACCAGGTGTGGTGGTGCATACCTGTAATTCCAGCTGCTCGGGAGGCTGAGGAAGGAGAATCACTTGAACCTGGGAGGTGGAGGTTGTAGTGAGCCGAGATTATGCCACTGCACTCCAGCCTGGGTGACAGTGAGACTCTGTCTCAAAATAAATAAATACAAATAAATAAAAATTAACTGAAAGAGCATAACTGGATTGGTTTTAGCACATAGGATAAAGGCTTAAGGGGATGGATAGCCCATTCTCCATGATGTGGTTATTACACATTGGATGCCTGTATCAAAACATCTCAGGTACCCCATAAATATATATGCCTACTACGTACCCACAAAGTTAGAATAAAAATTTAAAAAAAGAAAACTCGTGCTGCAAGTCTTTACAAAAGATTATTTTATTAATTCAGCTTTTGCATAAAAGACTGGTAAAAGAAGCTGGTAATCTGAAAACAACTTTGAGTGTTTCTGATCTCTCCAACTTGAAAACACTTGAACCTTAAAGAACAGACTGTGTAAAGCAGCGGGGGCCACCGGAGTGAAAGAAGATGGAGACCTGCCTGCCGTCACATCATGATATGAGGCCTGGACGGGGACCTCCTAAACAAAAAGGAAATGATCCTCTTCAGTGCGAAGTGTGCTTGTGAGACTGCAGGCTCCAGGCTCTGACATGGCAGCTCCTCTGAGAGCAGACAGCTGTACTCCGCTCTGTGGTCTGTGGTAATTTATATGGGAATGGGATGAGATCTAGCACAGTTTTAGATCCGATGTAATTTCGTGAAGGGTTGGTAACAAGCCAAAACTCAGTCTATGCAGTATTTAAAAGTAATTGAGAGTTGTGACAACTTCGATTCTTTCGGCAGGTGCTGTCTTAAGATCGAAGAAAGGGATCAAGCTTTTATCTTAGAAGGAGCAGGTGTTAAGTTTAGCTCAGGGTAGTGCAGTTCAGTGCTAAGTAGCTACTCCATGAAAGGCCAAGGGCCTGGGAAGAGGAAGAGGCCCAGGCATTTCTTCCTGGTCTGTCGCTCTCGGGCCTAGCATTCTGACAGGTCTTAAACGTCATAATACAAAACTATCAGTTAAATTCTAATGACGACTGTGTAGTTCCACCCCAAATCATTTTCCTTTTAGAAGTAAAATCGGGAAAGGGGTTGAGATCTGAAAAAAAAACATCAGGGCTGTGTCCCAGGCCTCCGTGTCCCCGTGTTTACTGTCTTATCATCTCCTTTGCATGAAGGTATAATTTAAGTAACTCGGCCTTGGAAGAATCACAGTGGTGTTCAAGGACCTTTTGGGGCCATCCAAGTTTTTCTCTTTCAGTACCCTGAAATCAGATAATCTCAACATCCAGAAATAGCCTTTGATTTGTTCTTTCTCTGATGTCTTGTGTCCTTGGGATCAAAGCCTCTTTCACTGGCACCAAATAATGCCCAGTGAGGAGTTCTGGCCATATAATCCTTTGCGCTGAAAGTTTTTGATCCACCGCTATCTTCGTATTCCTGGATGAGCTCCTGGAAGCGGTTATAATCGATCCAGGTCCACCATTCACTACCAATCTTAAACTGGAAAGAAAAAAAGTGTGTTAAGTCAGAAGTAAAAACGTCCCTAGAAAAAAATATATAAATGTTTTTAAAAATCATGACCAAGTCTGATCTTTTCTCCCCATCACATTAAAAAAAAGCAAAACTCATATGACATCCTATCAAAAGCAAGATGCGTTGCTATCACAGGGGGGCTTCCTTCCCCTCAGGGCTGATGTCTTGCTGGGCCCAGAAGACAAGTCAAGTTTGTCTGGAACAGTCCCACTGACACAGGTTAAACGTTTCGGTGTTACCATGTGGCTAATTCAAACTCATTCTAATTCCTGCCTTTGCCGCTTTTGATCGGTTACAGATTTTCATGGCTGTGTTAACAGCACCTCGTGGAATCCTTTTTACAACTCAACTTGGCTTACTAGTGAAGGTTTAATCAATAACTTCTAATTCAAAAATGCTAACCAAATGACTGGAACTAGCTATTTTAGCCTAACGTGGATACAATATCTTATTAGTGGAAAGCCTGAAGAATTTCAATTCAGTAAGAGGGGATAATCCAATTTGTACTCTTAAGAAAACTGCTTCTCAAAAGTCACTGTGGAATAATGACCCGGAATGAAGAAAACAGAAGTTGAAGAGGCTCGGAAGGAAGAACTAACTGAACTGTGAAGGCTTTTCATTCAAAGCATTTGTTTGGCATTCATTTGTGTAAATGTATTAACTAATACAGTGATACCTGACTCATAAAGAGACAAGTACTTGTCATGCCACTGTCTTTTAAAAACCCTAATGGCCGGGTGCAGTGGCTCACACCTGTAATCCCAGCACTTTGGGAGGCTGAGGCAGGTGGATCACCCGAGGTCAGGAGGTTCAAGAGCAGCCTGGCCAACGTGGAAAAACCCTGTCTCTACTAAAAATACAAAAATTAGTTGGGCATGGTGCAGGCGTCTGTAATTCCAGCTACTCAAGAGGCTGAGGCAGGATAATCACTTGAACCTGGGAGGTGGAGGATGCAGTGAGCCACGACTGCGCCACTGCACTCCAGCCTGGGTGACAAGAGTGAAACTTCATCTAAAAACAAACAAACAGCAAAACAAACAAACAAACCCTCCAACTAACTTAATGAACTAAGGAACAATTTCCTGTTCTAGCCACACACACACACACACACACACACACACACACACACACACACAAAAGGAAAATACATAGGTTCCTGAATTTAAAATATTAAAATATGCTGAATTTATATGACATCTGATTTTTTACACCTAATAGCTAAGAGCTTTCTAGGGTGAAAATGCTGAATACGTGGAAAACCTTAATTACTCTGTTTGTGAATTAGGAGAAGTTTTCTGGTAATGAGACCATTCTTGGAAATGATGCCTCGGGGGCTCCGTGAACTCTACAACCCAAGATGTAAAATTTGTATCTTACCATCATTTTCTCTCCCAGGCCAGACTGTCCCTGAAGTGCTGTCTACTGCTGTGGAAGCAATCATTGTCATTCCCAGGCTTGGAGCCTCAAAACTGCAGAGTCAAAGGTGACCTCCTTTTCCCTGGCCCCTCACACCCCCTGTCAATTCTCCCTAAGCAGTTCTCCAGTGGCGTGACGTGGTCACGCAGGCCCTTCCTCTGGGGCACAGCCACCAACTTCTAGACGATTGACCTGATTCCAGCTGTGGCTTCCCTCAGCATCCCATGGACGGCCCGAGACTGTGCCTACAGCAGACTGATTCTCATGATCCTGAACGTGAAGTCTGAGTATCAAATCTGCAACTCTTCATGAGCTGCGGCCCTCTCAGGTGACGGCCATGCTGTTCCCTCTGTCTAACTCACGTGTCCTTCTTCCTTTGCTCTGGGAAGTCTTCCTAAATCCCATCAGTTCAGTTCCAGTGAGAATTGCCCTGTTAGACAGTTTCTGTCAGTTCTGCTGCCGCAGGACCTCACTGTTCTAAACGTCCGCAGACACTACACTGGCCCCTGCTGTTCCCTCCCGCACTCCATCCCACCAAGCCTGCTGACTCTGTGAATACATGGAACTTAACAACGTACGCCGCCATCCAGGACATGTGAGGGCCCAGCCCTTCTCCCTCACCTCTGAACAAAGCTGGAAGAGCATACAAAGAATCAAAATTCCGCCTGTTCTACTGACATCTTGAGATATGATACGATTTTGCTGCTACTGGCTCCATAGAATAGAAGGGACAGCTTCACTGTGTATTCATGACAGAGGCACGACACAAACTTGACTGAGCCTGGGGTGAATTCCTAACCAGTGCAAGAGTAGGCACGGCAATGATATGTAATTCAACATACATGACAGCCAAATGAGGCCAAAATGATGCCATTTATCCCTCCATCCGTCAATAGGGGCCAACTATGGACTTGGCCCAGTCACATACATTCAGAAAATAATTACAATACAACATGGTGTGTACAGTGAGTGTACGTTTAGAAAATAATTACAATACAACATGGTGTGTACAGTGAGTGAGGTTACGTACAAGGCACTGGGGAGCGCAGGGACAGATGTGATGACTCACACAGGCCTGGCCCTGTAGAGGAGTCTTTTGGGGACTCCTAGTTTCACTTGCTGAAAGAAAGAGATGACCATACTGTCTTCTTCCCTGTTTCTGTCTCTGAAGTCTGACCCCCCTGGTTCATAATTCTGATACTCCTTCACCCTCAAACTCTAACAATAATCATTTGCCATGGGTATTCTAAGAGAGAGTAAAGGACTAGTTTGAGCAATATAATAGACTTACTGGTTTTTTTAACCATACCTACAGTCAAAAATATATGTTATATTTCAATCTAGTACACACAAACACACACAAATATACCCACACAGGCTGGAAATACAACTTTCACAAAACTGCAGGCAATGCATTTCACAGGAGAACGGGTGGCTGCAACTCATACAACCAATTTCCTAACTCCTAATGCAGTTTGAGAACTTCTGCACTAGAGAACCTGGTTTCTTTTGACTCCAAAACTCTACCTGGCTTAAACGGAAAAAATTTAAGTTGCACAGGTAGGACAGCTGTAAGCTAAAATCTGACAACTGACCCCTCTGATTCCCAATGTCTAAGAAAACTAGCTGGAAGACCAGACCAAGTAAATGCAGTACAATGTGGGAGCATTAGCTCAGGCTGCCATAGCAAAATGCCACAGTGTGGGCGGCCTAAACAACAGAAAATTCTTCTCTCACAGTTCTGGAGGCTGGCATTCTGGCTAACTCAGTTTCTGGTGAGGGCTCCCTTCCTGTGTAGCAGGCGGCAGCCTTCTTGCTGTGCCCCACGTGGCCTCTTCCTGGTGCGTGGCCATGGAAAGTGAGTGAGCAAGTGACCAGAGCCCTCTCATGTCTCTTCTTCTTCTTTCTATTTTTTTTTAATTAATAATCTATTTTTCTGGTTCCTTCATTAGTCTGTAAGCTTCTTTTTTTTTTTTTTTTTAATTTTTTATTGGATTTTAGGTTTTGGGGTACATGAGCAGAGTGTGCAAGACCGTTGCGTAGGTACGCACATGGCAGTGTGCTTTGCTTTGCTTCTCCCCTTCACCCACATTTGGCATTTCTCCCCAGGCTATCCCTCCCCCTATTTTTTTTTAAGAGATAGGTCTCACTGTGTCACCCAAGCTGGAGTGCAGCAGTACAACCAGAGCTCATTGCAGCCTCAACCTCGTGGGCTCAAACAATCCTCCCACCTCAGCCCCCTGAGTAGCTGAGACTACAGGTACATGACACCATGCCCAGTGAATTTTCAAAAATTTTCTGTAGAGAAAGGGTCTCGTTATGTTGCCCAGGGTGCTCTTGAACTCCCTCAAGTGATCCTCCAACCCTGACCTCCCAAAGTGCTTGGATCACAGGTGTGAGCCACCGCACCCAGCCCTGATGTCTCTTCTTATAGAGACATGGATCCTGTCAGATCGGGGTTAGGCTTATAATCTCATTTAATCCCAGTTGCTTCCTTTGAAACCCCATCTCCAAACACAGCCACACTGTGAGTCTGGGAGGGGAGGAGGACACAAACATTCAGTCCTTAACGGTAAGTTATTCTGAAATGCACAGAGCCACTAGAACCAAAAGACAGAACGGAACCACATGTGCCTCCTCCTCTCAGGACAATCAGAGACTAATCACACTGAACAATCACAGCTCAGCAAAAGTCACAGTGTTCCATGTAAAAGGCAGAAGCTGAAAGAGCAAAATTTGGTATGATTGACACACAAACCGTGCTGAGAGACAGCTGCGTAAACAGAGGCACGAAACCCCAAATCACAAAATCTGAGGTTAAGTGTGCTGAGACACGAGGTCATCCTGCTAAAATAATTCCTCAAATCCAGCGGCAAGGGAAGAAGGGAAGCGATGCAGAATTACAAATAAACTCGAAAGGTCATAGAAGATCTCAGAAGCACACAAGCGCAGGAAGGTGCAGTTCTGACTTAATAAAGCCAGGCCGCTAAGGGTCTGTGGCCTTGCTGGCCCGATGAGGCCACGCAGGCTCCCGCTCTCTGCAGGAACCACATTGCTGTACAAAGCGCCTCGTCCTCATTATGTTCTCATCTTCCACGCAGAGGGAATTTCACTAAACAAGAATAATGACATAGGTTCTCGGTTCAAAAGGTTCTATTAAAGATGGTAGATTAAATGCTTGCATGTACTGTTACTGCCTCTTGAAACCCCACTAGAATGACAGTAAGAACATTTTAAAACAATACGTAACATAAAATAAAGCCATCAGGAGAGGAGAAAATAGTATCAGACTTTCAGAAGCTGAAAAGACAACGGCAAGCAAACTGGTTTAGCAGACCCAAGAGAGCTGAATCCTAGGCCAGCAAATAGAGAATCCAAGAGTCAACCCAATTCATGCTTTAGAATTGCTCAAAGGCTCAGAAATCAGCTGCACCAGTCCCCCCACAGGAAGCCCAGATTGAGGAGGTACCAAACCCACTCCCCACCAAAAACCCAAAGGCAGGTTTATTTTCTGTGTAAGACAGTATGAGAATCTCAGGTTCCTGGCGTCC